TAATCTATTCGAGGATTATATTTTTCTAGCCAGGATAAACCTAAAATAACTGGATTGGACGGGGATTTAATTATGTTAAAAGCTATGTAGCTATCATGACCGTCTATTGTTACTTTTATAGGATGAGTTTCATGAGTGACATCTCCAGAAGACAAGGGATGACCATCTATGACTTCTACATGTACTGGTTTAGGTTTCTGTACAAAGGGTATTTTACGACTTTTAACAAATTGTTCATCTAAAAAACATGCTGAGGCTCCCGAATCTAATAAAGCAGAGGCTTTGTAATTCTTAGGTCCTAAATATAAGTCTATTATAAAACAAGGAGAGGGTTTTGAGGAGAGGATAGGACCTTCATTAGGAATTATACAAGGTTCCAGCTACACGGTCCCTATTGTAGCTGGACGAATCTGTTTTCTGACATGTTGTCTTCTTTGACCGTCGTACCCCTCATTTTATAGTTGCGTCGTTTTTTTGGACAATGTTGAGCAGTGTGCTTAGGTTCTCCGCAATATAAACATAATCCTTCTTGACGACGACGAATCTTTTCTTGCTCAGTTAGGGGTTTAAAACGTACCGCGTCAATTTGCATGTCTTCTACTTCCGAATGTACGTTTGGCAAAGATGTTGATGTTGCCATTGAGTAATAACATTGAGATTCCCATGAATGATTCTCGGATCAAAATTTGAAAAGTCGATTATCACATTTTACCGCAAAATCGATTGCTTGACTCAAAGTTTGAGGATCAGGTAAGTTGAGCATCAATTTCTTTACTTCGTATTGCAATCCATAAAGAAATTGACTGATGAGTGCAGCATCATCCCACTTGATGTCAATTGCAAGTTGTCGAAATTGTGAAGCATACACTGTTACTGAGCGATTTCCTTGTCGCAGAATTTGAATCTTATTTGTTGCAACACGAGTTGCATCGTGTTCACCATACATAGATCGAAACTCCGCCAAAAAAGCTTCCAAATTATCCAATATTGGATTTCGTTGTTCAAGAAAAGACGAAAACCACGATAATGTAGAACCAAAAAGTAGAGTGCCAATAAACCTGACTTGTGATCCTGGAGTTGGATAGCTTTGCGGTTGAAGTTCAATTGCCAATTGTACTTGATTGATGAACCCTCGAAACTTTGATCTCGTACCATCAAATTTCTCGGGTAAGGCAATTCTTGGTTCTCTAGTGTTTACAGGGTGTTGTACAATTGGAGAAGGAACGTGATTTGTTGTAGATGTTGAAGCAGCTCCGATCATCTCTATATCCCCACTTTCTGCCATTCTTGTTCTTTCCTGTGTTGGTGAATTGAGTTGATGCATCGCAAGCATTAACTCCCTCATTTGCTCTTGCATTTGTGCCATTGCACTCTTCATTTCAACAAGCTCTGCCATAATAACACTAACAAGAAAAATTTGTTTCATACTGCTCAAGACAAAAGAAAAGAAAGACTTGATAACAAAGAAGATACTAAGAACAATATCAGTTTAGAAGTGGGTAATCCGCAAACTTCCAATACGCTTATGTCTTGTCAAGAGAAAGGGGTAATCCACTCTTATTCAAAAAAAAACAAAGCTCTGATATTGTAAATGTACTCTTGTCAATCTGTCAAGGACAAGAACTCGATGAAAAACAATTCAGACAAGCGAGCCTTCACTCAAAGAGAGGTAACAAAATATATATAAACAAGTATATATATTGAAATAGAAACTGGAATGGCTATTGCCAAAAGACAAGAAAACTAGAGGCCCTTGAAACTAGACTAGAAGCAAGAAAGGAGTTGACAAGAGTGAAGAAGCCTTCACTCTTGTCTCTATATATACTATCTAATTAGGAGCTACGTGGCGACGTTCTATAGGACCTCCAATATGTGTTGACTTTGTAAGACACATGCCTTGACTTACAAGGCAAGTTTTTCTACGTGTGGGCCACATAGTTAGCTTGATCTTCAAGCTAACAACATGTGTGGCACATGGCCAACTTATTGACCACGTTTTTAATCCAAAAAGTCAATTAAAGACACCTATGAAGTCAAAGCAACGTCTAGGAAGTTTCTAGGAAGCTTCTATATTAAATATTATAGAATTAACTTACTTTTATCTACTTTTACTTACTTCTACCTATTTCTATATGTAATTATTAGCTTACATGATTATGGCCGTGACAATATGTAGATATTGAAGATTTAATTATTTTAAATTTTGAATTCACCTTGCAAATGAAAAATATTTTGTAAATTTTGATTTGACCTACTTGTCTATTTTAGAGGTCTAAAAATCCAATAGGGAACTTAGAGTGTTTTATAAGTTTTTCACTTTTTCAAATTAGGGCCATATACTTGGTACTATTTTTTGTTGACTTTTTTTTTGATTTGTCTTTTTAAAATTTTGAGTTGACCCTTTCTCTTCTTCTAATATTTTTTATTCTAATGGCTTATTTAAAATCTTTAAAAATTAATAATTTAAGATATATGAGATTTTTAAAATTTTTAAATAATCTTTTTTATACTATATAAAAAAATTAAAAAATATTCATTAAAACTTATTTATACAATGAAAATAAAATAGGTAGTTTACATAAATATGTATTTACTTCTTAATTATAATATATCATATTTAGACTACTTTTTCAATATACTTTACATACAAATGACTTAAAATTATATAATCTATATTTTAAGCTTATGCAATGGATTATACATAGTCATACTAATTTGCACCATATTCTCCAATGAAGTGGCGAGTTTCTCTAATACAATCTTCATATATTCTTTTTTTCTTCCAATATCCACCACCATTAGTCTTCATCAAGATCCATCCATCTACATTCCTATCTACCATCATTTTGTAAAGAAACTAATGTTCATTATAAAGAAATTTAAAGATAAGGTGAGAATTACTTGCACCATCTTGCTTCCAACCATCATAGAAAAATTAACCTTCTTATATTAAAGCTTGTTGACATACTTGGACACTTTTCTACTCCCTTGCTTGTTGAAGTTGATGGTTTGTATGCTTGCCACTCCATCATATTGTTAGTCATGCAAAACCTTGTGCAATTTTTATACAAATAGAAGGGGCATATAAATTTCTTCTATAAATCTCTATTATCAAATCTTATAATGTAAGATGACATGTTCTAAAAAAAGATTTATATAGATCCTTCTTGACAATGAAATGGACTTTTTAATGCACTTAGAATGACTCCAAAACAAAACAAAAAATGCCAAGATAATTATAAAGTTTATACATGCTAACTTTCATCATATAAATAATGATTTGTAGTTTAACTTTTAAAAGTCAAATCCTACATATACCTTTTGAAATTCTTTTTTGTGTAATCTTAAATCCTTAACTATAGACTAGATTTCTTCATTGAATATAATTATGCAAAAATATGCTCTACTATTCTTCTAGATTAAAATAGTTTTAATTATAAAGTAAATTATTTGAAAGTAGTGTTTGGCTTTATAAACTTATATTAATCTAAATATATGAGATTATAATGTGCAAAAATATAATTTATTGTCTATTATACCAAACATAAATAATCATAAAGTTTTTAATTCAAACTTTATCAAAAATCATGCTATATAGTTTTGTTTGTCATATAATAACAAAATCTAGGTGATATATTTATAATAACTCCCACAATGTTCATCAAACCAAATAAAATTTAGTTCTTTATTAACTTGGTTCCTTCTAAAAAATAAGATTTATATTTTATAATTTATGATTTTAGGATTTAAGATTTAGAATTACATGGATATCTTTGGTTTTTTTACCCTGTTGTTTTTTAATTTTGACTTGACATATTCTCTTATTTTAATGTCTACAATTATAATGCTATAAATAACTTAATAATTTAAGTTCTTAGTTTGTAAGATTTGATAACTTTAACATGAACTTTCAGATTTTTATTTTTATTATATAAAGTTTTTTAAGAGTTTTGAAAATATAATTGGATTTATTTAGAGGTTGTCCATTCTATACATGTCTTTAAATTATTCTAAAAAAGTAAAGATTTAATATAGAGAAGAAATTTCACTCATTTCGACTTTAATGCTTTTTCTTAATCAAATCCTCAAAAGTAAAAAAAAAAATATTTCTAAAATCTTAAAAAAGAATTTAAAATGATTTTTTATTTTTACTGTTTTATTAGGTATAATTAAATATATGGAAAAAATAGAATTTGATATTTTAATCGCTAATAAAAAAATTATACTAAAGAGACCATAAAGTGTAACAAGAATCATTCTAATCATTGCTAAGATACAAAAAGTTTCAAAAGTTACATACAAAACATTATTTAATAGAAAAGTTGACAATATAATATTATAGTTGGTTTCACTTCTCTCTTTTTGTATATCATTTCAAGGTTAGAAGCTTTGATCTAAGAGTTTAGTTTCTTATCATCTAAACTACTAGAAAAATGTTTCAATAAAAATGACATACAAAGAAATTAAGTAGTTTTTTCTATACAAAAGTAATTCAAAATTTTATTTGAGATTTTGGTTAAAAAACGTGTTATGTTTTATAATGTTATGTAAATTTAGAAATAAAATTTACTTAATATAGAAATTATATTTGAATTGACACAATATTTTAAATATAACTATATATACTTAAAGATGTTTAAAATCATTCAACATTAATATTAAAAATTAAATTAAGACAGAATTAAAATTCAAGAAAAACAAGTTTAGATAATCTCGTTTTAAAAATTAATCATATTTTTGCTTCAAATCTTAATTTCTACCATTTCCTTATTTGTTGACAGGATTAAATACATCTTTAAAAAAAAAAAAAAAAAAAAAAACCTAACATGTGTAAACCGATTAAGAAACATCTAAAACTCTTTGAATATGTTTTAAAAATAAAAAACCAAAAAACCAAAGATATGAAATGGTGAAGAAATCCACAAGCTTCTTTAATTACACGTGTTTGCAAGCATATACAAAACGACTATAAACCAGGGAGGAGAGCGAGAGAGACAGAGAAAGTTTCGTTGCGAAGAAGGGCCATTTGCAATTTGCTGCTGCGATCGGGACTAGGAGGAGAGAGCAAGCTCCGGTGTATTGAAATTATACATATATATGTATATATATACATAATATATTGTATCGGGGATTCTCGGCGGCGGTGGGAGGTTGCGGTGAGGTTGTCCGCCATTGCAGCAGAAGAGGGCGAAGGGAGTGTTGGCCAGGTCTAGCGTTGTGGAACTTCGTTGCTGTTTTTGGTTTGGGAAGGGATTAGGGATGAATCCTGTGTTATTTATTTTAATTTTTTGTTTCTTTTCTGGAAGGCAAAGAGGAGAGATGAGTTGTAAATTGAGAGCAGCATGCTTGTGAAGGGAAGTGTGTGAGGTTTTCTCCTTAGAGAGGATTTTGTTAGAGGCTAGGGGGGAGCTTCGACATAATTTTTCGCGCGAGGGAGGGGATTTCTGAGCGCTCATGTCTGTTCCCCGTAGTATTGCAGCCGATTGAGCTGAAGGTAGCTCAGGCAATGCACTTGAGAAGGTGTCGTTAGATAATTTGTTCGGTGTAGCATGGGAAGTGCAGAGGACTTTGAGCTTATGCGGCAGTACCTTGATCACCTCCATTCTGCATCCTCGCCACTTGAGAAGCTGCCTATTACTTCTGCGTCAGATGAGATGAAAGTACTGTTCTTTGCTGATTTCAGGGCATGCACGTAGCAGTTTGGTTGTACTGTTCTTTTTGGTGAATTCTACATAATTCACGCATGGACACACTGTACGAGTGTTTCATTGCCTGTTTGATTTAATAATTGATTACTTCTTCAATTGATAGCCTATATATATTTATTTATTTAAAAAAATGTTGATGAATTTGACAAGCAGCTGAGTAGCAAATGTTAGATGGTGAACATAACTTGGATAGAAGTACCTCCCACGCCTATACTTACCTTGGAAAATCACTACCGCTCAAGATTATTAACTTATCTGGAGTACAATTTGTCTAAAGAAAGTTTAAATATGACACAAATTTAGGTTGATGAAGGGTGGACTGACGCCGGATGCATGTATATATGATCAAGTTAATAGCAAGATGGTTGTTTGCCGGAGAGAGGTGCATAGGGATCCTTGAGGCCTCTTTCTGATCTTCAACGATTTTAATGTGCTGAAGACTAGAGTTTTGTAATTTGTGTGTCTAGACAATTCAACTTACGATCAGAATCTCGCTACGGCCTTGAGATGGATACAGGTCTCGCTCACTCGCTTCAAATGTGGAATTGATTGGTGCTCTGAAGTTATACAATGAGCAATTATGGTCCTCCATTGCTAGCACCTTTTAGGTTTGGTACGCTCTCTTTTAGCGCAATATTTGCTTACAGGAATCTGTGTATGGGTGTGTGGTTCAGAGCGACCCAGAAAACGGTTCCATTTCAGAATCAGAAACCGGCCTGACAGCTGGAGCATCACAGCATTCGGAGAACAATGCTCTCTTTGCGAATGCATAAGTCTTTTCGATCTATTCCTTTGCAAATTAGTTGTTTCTTACCAACCTCAATATGTTTTTGTGGGAAGAAGGATCAATCAAGTATTCGGTAATTAGGTTATTCTGACGGCGTTTTTTGTATTTGAAGGTACAGTTGTATTCCTGTCCACTTATTTTGATAGCGGGCATCCTGGTATTTAGAACTCTATAGACTGTTGTTCTAGGTGAAAAGTTCTCGACTTTGTAAACAATTTTTTTTTATGTACTTTGTATTGGTCATACATTTATTTGCCTTCTGCGCCGTCTAACTGGGCATTTATGTGTTTTGCCCTTACTCTGCCTTTCAGCCTTGAGACGAGTTGTGAGCCAGTCGTGTCTTCAATAGACTTTTCGCGTTCGGTGTATGCCTCTGCTCATGGAGGAAAGTCACCTGGTTGCTGTTTGTGGTTAGCTTGTATTTGTTCTTCTAAGCTTCTGGGAGTAGGTATCTAATGCTCAGATTACAGTTAATGTGTATCCCGTTTACAAGGTATTGTATCCTATTACGTTCTCGGTAGATCCTAGTCATCGGCATTGTTGTTGGTGGCTGTTTGAGTAGTTGTAGACGTCTAAAGCCATAAATTGAGCTGGGCTATGCTTTGAAAACCTTAATATGAATTTGGATGCGACGTATTTGGAATTCCACTTGGATGCTCTTGATTTGACATGTTGCAGAAGCAGGGCGAATATTGGAATAATTAAAACAGGAGTTGTTATGGATGCATTCCATTTGAAACGCAAAGAGTTGTTAGCTGAGATTGGGACTGCCTGGGACTTTCAAACCAAAGATCGTTGTGATGTTTAACGTTTAATTGGTATGTGCTGACTTCATTTATATTTGGTAACTAGCAAATATGAGCTTGTTTGTAAATGAAATCCGGTGGAACTACATTTGTGGAATCTGTATGCTGTGTTGCATTTTAATGCAGTGTGGCAAGAGTCGGTTTTTAGGAGTTCTAGCATCCTCGCCTCTCACTGAGAACCGATTCTCGCCACTCTGGGTTAAACGCTTCAACTGATCTCTCTCTCTCTCTCTCTCTCTCTGCCTAGTTACCTGCAATTTGTATCATGCATAACCTCTATGAGCATGTACGTAGGTGGGCTAGAGTAGACACCAGCTGAGTTGGAAATACGTAGACGGAAGTCAGCAACACTCCATTGTCAAAAAGAAGCTGCGGATGTGGCACCGCTTACAGGTACAACGAAGCTAGGTGTGAAGATCGAAGGCGGAGATCGAATTTTAATCACAGATAAGGTTGCAAGAGAAGCTGGTTTAGAAGAAACACAGGCGCAGGTTGTGCCCCTACTTGCTAATAGTATTATTCTTGTCGCTTATAACTCTAAGTCTAATATTAACGAGGTTACATGGGATTGTTATTCTTCCATTCTTTCTCAAATGTGGATGACATTGCCTATCTTAAATCAGATGTTTTTTTAAGAAATAAAATGTAATGCTTATGTAGAACTGCATGTTATGGCTGGACCTTCGTTTACCTTGAATGGTTTTCTGGCGAGTTACCTGTTGAAACCTGGATGCGTTAGAAAAGTGTTGTACATTTGTGCTCATTGTTTGGTGTTGATATTAGAACCTTTGAGAAAGTGCTGATATGCTGGTGTGTTTTGTCCGCAGACATCAGCGCTGAGAGAATGAATGACTACAAGAAGCACTGCAAGCACAAATGAACCTCTCCCAGCGACTGCGACAATTGCAGGTGAAATACTTGTTCCTACACTTCAGTGTGTAGATCTCATTTTGCATGTTGGCTCAGTATTTCACATAACTTGTAATGATTTGAAGTTCATACTAACAAGATGCCATCATTTGAGCGTTTCATCATTTTTATTTTTATTCCTCTTTTTACCTTAAGGGTGCATATCATGAATGATGCTCATTCCCCAAGACAGGTTTCCATACGCTGTTGGATTAGTTTGAATTCGTAAGCACATGAATTTGTTAGCAATTTTGTGTCAAGTGGAACGTTTCACTTGCCTTCCACAGGCATGTAATTTTGTAGTCGTAGAGGTTGACTATATTTTCTTGGACCTTCGATTTATTTTGTCGTTTACTCCTGAATCTCAAGACCAGATCAATCTGGAATCTTTGATTCTCACTTCTCTCCAGCTTTACGAGAACTTATCTTCTCAAATCTTTGTCACCATGTTGAATCTTCTGTATAGTTCTTATTCTTCAGGAAGTGGGCAGACTTGACTTTGTACTAGGTTTTCAGCAAGCGAGGCTCTTAGTTAAGTACCGACATCTATACAGTTGTGCTCATTGTCGGTTCAACATCTTCCTAATCCAAGATTTCATGTGGTTATCATCTCCGCAGATGAAATTTATCTTGAAGTCGTGATGTTCCAGCGAGGTTGTGGAATGTGGCTGCCTTGACCTCGTACAAGTACCTATGGTGCCGTTGTCACTGCGAGCACGTACAAGTGTGAGTAGGAAGTGTTCTCACGGAACATCAAGCTTTGGTAGAAGGTCCTACTTAAGGCTGCTACAGATCCGAATTTGTGGATGATGCTACCGCCTATGGCGGAGATGCTTTTAAGAGCACAGGTTAAGTGCAGGGGAAAGACAGAGACCTTACATGCGACGCCTGACTGATGGAAATCATACTTGCTTTGCAAAGGGGCAGAAGCTTTTGTGTTGGAACTTATGCACAACATAGAAAAAGGTGGAAAACAAAATAAAGAGGTTCTGGAATTGCACAATGCAAGTAGTCTTTTGTGGTCTCCTCGGGTTGGTTGGGTATCAAGCTTTATGTAGTGATCACATCCACGCAGACGTACATTCATTTCTCAATTGTTGACCTTGTGAATTGATTCTGCGGTGGTAAATTACCCTTGTGGGATGATGATATTGGCGTTTAGTATGCTCAATTCATACAGTTTCATATTGTGAATTCATGAAAAATACGGATGCCACATAATTAGTATCAACAATCTAAACTCGATTCAGAGACTTGATAACAACCTGTTTCTGCACATAATTTGAAATGGAGTTTTAAACTATGTGAAAAGTTACCACGTAAGGAGTATTTTGGAATATGACCAAAATGATGAGGGCAGTGAGCCTGCAAGAGATTCACAAATCTTTGGACAGTGTGCAAAGATAGATGTCCACTTCTAGCCTGAAAGAGTACCAAATCAGGTGCTAAGCATGGAGCTAAGCTCCTCGCTCGTGTGCTACTGCCAACCCACATGCTCCCTTCAATCCTATATCATTCACATGCCTGTGATTTGTGACGATATTCACAAATGATATCAAATGAAATTGTTCTGTTGTGATGGCACAATTAGCTTTGGGGCAGATCCTCAAATTATCCTTCAAGTGGCCATCTTGTAGCTCAGCTACCTTGCGGCATTTTCTTACCGGCCCAACTAATCGAAGATGGATCAAATCGTGACTGCTTATTCTATTTCAGTTCCATGCACCTTCCCTTCCAAATGTTTGCGTGGGAAAATGAGTGCAGAAATTATCAGGTGCTATTGTTGTTTTCAGTGCTCTGTTCTCAATAAGAGTTTCTGCAGGTCTCTGAGGGTGCCGAATACTCCAGTACAGTCTGTAGGTGCGGGTTGCCACGGCTAAATGCTTTTTTGGAAATTTGTTGAAAGATGGCAGCCTTTTGCTTATCAGACGTGCCGTTCCGGCTGTGCCTCGCGAGTCAACGGGATGCAGTAATAGATGAGAAAGGAGACAGTATGAATCTGGGAGGTCCATTACTAGAATATGTTTATCTCTTTACTTGTGAAAATGAAAGGACAGGCAGCTGGTGACTTGTTAAGAAGCACCCGGTGTGGATAATACCATTATGAACACCCTGCAGGTGCTAAGTCTAACTCAGAATGTGCGTTTGTTGCGGCACCATTAACCCATGATGTGGCTTCGAGAGCTGATCGGTTGGTTGTCCCCAAGTAGGATCAAGCAGGTCAGGACCTGGTCGCCGGGGGTTGATCCAAAGACTATTTCAAGCATCTCTGCTGCAATTAAATTTTTTTGCTCTCAGCAATTAATCCTGTTCCCTGGTCGCAAGGCATGTCTTAGACCTGGTAATATGGCAAAATTTTCTGAATTTCCTAGTCATTGGGTGATGCACTGTCTCTTCAGGTCTAGGATGCGCTTGGCTTCAAATTAATGATGTCTCGAAGATGCGTAGGAGGCCAACCAAACTATCGCCATATGCTATGCAACTGATCTACAAGCCACAAACGGCAAGTCCGCGTGATCACCAATCAACATGGAGCAGAATAAACTTTTAAATGGAAGCTGGGTAGTGATGAATCTTACAAGGGCCCAATGAGGAGGCCGGCAACCATGTGCTTCGGTTGTGCCCATGCGGTGGTTATTTTGGCTTCATTATCGGGGACTTGTCTCGGTGTTTCCTTTTTGCCTTCCTTTTCGTCACCACTCATTTTAAACTTTCACTCATAGGTTTCTGGCTACATTCCAACCTACCTCTCAGTTCACCACTAATTGCCTTCATCTGCACATTTTCATCGGGATCTGGGCAGCCCCCAAAATCAGGCTCGAGTGCCAAGACGAAATATCGACCGCAACGGAAACCCATCAACCCCCGATGACTGCCAGGCTGCAGCTGACGCCGAGAGGCGCAGTTTTGACGGCTCTGGAATGACGTACGCAACCCTGGACAGCCGGTCAAACGCGGATGAATGAGGATCGAATCTAGCGACATAGTATTCCCTCTTCTCTATTCAACACTTTTCCTTGGGATTGTAGAAAGAATATTCTCTTGAAGAAATCGGGAACACTGTCGACTCACCAAACATGCGTCTGCCGTCGAGCTATGTTCAGGAATATAAGCATCCCGTTGGTAAAACCAAGTGTGACTTTGTTCCAGATTACGCGAAGAGAGCATGTCTGCCTGGACTGAAGGGCTATTTCTGAGAGGTCAGCAGCAACCATTACGACATGAAGTCTGTGTGACGCTCACATTGTCCGAAATGTCTTGTAGAATTTCACCATTCAGACAGGTGGAAGGATTGATATCTAGTATTGCATTATAAAACTGAATGAAGTGATTGGTCGAATCAGAACAATGTTATTCAATTTCAATGTATTACGTTCGGATTGAATATTCACCTGAACACAGCTGTCCAGCACGGTAAATTTGCGCATGTGGGATCCGGACTGTGAAAATGCTCGGGACCCGCCATCAAGGTCAGGTCCATGACATGTCGCAGCCAAAACGCTGGAGATGCCTAACCAAACAGTATGTCGGGGCTCGGAAGTTGGGAATGTGTAAGGTCTGAAGTGCACTTGGTATTTTGAATGTCCCAACAGCATGGAAAGCAGATCACCGTCCTTCGGGATGGAACGGTAAAAAATCTTGAGAGGAGCAAAGCGGTGTACCCACCTCAGTCCAAATAGTTGACATGGTGGCTCCCACACTCGTGGACATGCTCCTCGGGATCAAGGTGTCCCACATGGGTCACCGAAACAGAGAGTTGATTCAGTTTTCCCGGAATCAACGAGCATTCGTTTCAAGGCTGTCAATCGGTTGACAACAGAGGATTTTGGCGCATCGAGTGGGTCCTGCAAGATATATCTTTTATGTACCTGATTTCCTGTCGGCTTCTCACTTGATGCCTGATTGGGCACCAGGAATAAGTCTCGAAGATCAGAGCTGAATGGAAGTTACGGGCATCCGCTTTATGCATATAGCAGATTGGTTCTGTAGAAGTTGCTGTTGGATGAAATGTCATACCTTAGATTTCCCATGGTATTTGTTTGTAATTGTCCGTAGCATGATCGTGTAACCATTGATCGTGCGGAACGTCTGTGCAAAACTTAAAAAGCTTGAAAGGACCAACTGAACTCCGCTTGTGGGGTCAGGCACAAAGAGAGACTCGATGCAACGGCTTCAATTGATTCAACGTTCCCAGCCTTGCTACTTGCTCAATAATGGAAAAAGCATGATAGGTGTTCAAACTCAGGCTGCTTCACAACCCATCAAGTCTGCATCCCTTCGCTTGCAAGCACGTCCCGACCCACTGACAAGCATGCTGCAGCTTTACTTGACCCTTCCAAACTACTGAAGTCGAACTATCTTTACGTCCCATCCCCAACATTTCCAATCACTGAACTTGAGGGGTTAGAGCCATTCTGCTTCGAATTGAACCCCTGAAGCGATGTATTTAGATCGTGCCATCCTATCCTCATCTCCCAAAAGACCTGATATCTCTAGGGGTCGATCCGTCTGAGCATTGCTCCTGTGATACCCAAGACATCATTCTAATTACCATATTTGCAATTTTCTAGGATGGACACTCGTCAATGGGTTAGTGAGGATTTAATGCCACTTCGAATAAATCTAATTAAAATGCCGATATAAATAAATTAGTATTTTTTTTCACTTACACCTCAATTCCTCAAAGCACAAAGCTTAAAACTCCCGACAACCTAAGTAACTTGGGGATTTTCCTTTGAAGCTGTTCTCGGACTACAGGGTCAACCTGGGGAGATAATGACAATGCCTCCATCAGAAGAAGCAACTATTTCTTGGTGCTACTATCAATCGTATCCGTGGAACAAAAATGTCTGCGACAATGGAATGGAAAAGCTTTCGCATCCACCAGGATCTGTACCAGGGAGAAACATAGACTACGGAAAAGACTCCACTGCATGGCTCTGCACATATTATATCGTTCGTACGTATATTGTGCTGGCTTATAAAGTTGGTCCCGTTAGATCCTCGTTCCACATCGCAGGTTGCAGATGCTAACAATCACCACTTGTTTCACTATCTCACTTAGAATACATTCATGCATCCTCTCATTGAGTTTTCGGACAATATCATTGATTTTGTCAAGGCTTCAGTCTTCACATGCTAGTATTCGCATTTCGAGTCGTTGTCGCGAACATCTCTTCACATAAGACGTATCACCAAACCCTTGAATGAAAGTTTCAATTGCGGAACAGATGAGCGTCAATTCAAGAATAACATTTCATAGCCTGGCCTGCATTGCCTTCGAAGAATATCCATGAACACAAAAAGAACGAATTTCACGTAGTGATTGCGATAGTAATAATACCACAAAACGGAATGATATATTTGCCTCTGTAGCATGAGGCGAAACCCAAAATTTCTAAACCATAGGGAAACTCGAAACAAACAAACAAACAATCAAACAAACAGAACACCTCACAGGTCTCAAAATCCTTTCGTACAGTAAAGTACAATGATAATCTTCTCATACGCTCCCTAATTTACTCACCAAACCACATAAATTCCGCTCATGAATTGTGCCAAGTCAGGAACAGCGAAGAAGCAGATATTTTACAAAGTGCACCACCACAATTCCCCTACCTCCAAAGAATTCGCATGACAGTAAAACGAGCGTAATTATCGGCGATCGACGCAACCAAATACAGGCGCATGCGTCGAGGCATTCGACCAAACTCAAAGACAAAAAAGCTCGCAGAGTCTGGCAAGCATGGTTATTATTAGAGTTTTACCATCACTCGCTCGAAGCTCGAAGCTGATCCATGCTCTCGCCTTGGACCGCGCAACCTGAAACCCGGCAACGACCGCGCCAGAAAATTCGCTATACCCGCCTTCTCGGGTATGTTCACCTCAGCGCCTTCGCCGTCGTCAATGGTTCGTCGCTATCCGGGTATCGGGCCAGTGCTCCACTCATCCGTGCCACCTCAGCTCACATCAGTGCCACCTCAGCTCAAGCCGAGACAAATACCTCTTTTTATTGTTATTATGTTATTATGTTAGAAGAATGTATGTATGTGGGGACAAGATCAATTCTACAAGACTTTGGCAAGAAGGGTCTATGAGGGACTCTTTCA